CTAGCATAACTTTGATTCCTTTCACAAAGTGAAATCAAATAGGCCAGTGCCCCTGGGGCCTCTGGCAGCCTCCTGATGCTTAATACTTGATGAGAGTATTAACTACATATGGGGGCTGAGAGGGAAGAAAAGTGGGTACTTAGTCTTCGATCGCATTGTCACGCCTACACGGTAATGGATGCTAAATGTCAAACCTAATGGTGCAGCCAGGCTGGTATCCTCTACACCCTGGCCCATAACAAAGGAAGGGATGTCCAGAGATAATAGCACTTGGTCCTTGTAACTGTAAAGGAAACAACCTTTGCAGAAGGGGTTTTTCCCAATAGCTCAGAGATTATTGTTTGGAAAAGGCTGAACTGATAAAAATTCCCAAGCATCACTCAAGTTTCTTACAGCAGGGTAAACGGTAGACATGCATGTTCACAGAGGCAAAAAGACATGCATATTAGCTATCCGCACAAAATCTCCTTACAAGGGAGGGTTATGTTCACTCTTTTTCAGCAGAGAGGAAATCACCTTCATTTGACTACACAGAAATAACTCTGCCATATGCAGTTCAGTGACAGAACACTTGCCTAACACACACACGTCTCTGCACCTGATCCTAGCAGAGCAAAACAAGCAAACAAAAAACCCTCTCTGAATATTTTCATGTTTGTGGTCTGCCAGTCTTTTTATATATTTATATATTCTTTAACTTTTAAGTTTGTCTCTTTTTGAGACAGTCTCCTCACATGGTATAGCTGCTCTTGAACTCATGATCTTGCTTCAGCCTCCTAAGCGCATAAGGCCAGTCAGTACCTTCATGGCCAGCTTAAAAGTATCTTTGTCCAAGTCTTAACACATGCAAAGATTAGTATTACACTTACCCACATCTGTTTACATAACAGTCCTGTCACCTCTACCCCACCAAGAAACAGTTCCCAGTGATGTCCCTTTATAGTTAGTGTCTGCCAGAGAGAACTCGTGGTAGAACATAGATTAATAAAAATATGAGTTAATTTAAGTTGTAAGAGCTAGTTAAAAACAAGCCCAAGCTAAAGGCAAAGCTTTCATCATTAATTATTAGTCTCTGGTCATAATTTGGGAGCTGGCTGGCAGAACAGAGAAAGACAGTTACATCTGCTCTCTGGTTGTGACAGTTTCAAATTTCTCAAATTACCATGTTGTCAGCTATGGTGGTGCATGCCTTTAGTCCTAGCACTGGGGAAGCAGAGGCAGAGGTGGTTCTTTATGAATTTGAATCCAGCCTTCTTATACAGAGTTCCAGGCAGGCCAGGACTATGTATAGGGGTGGGGTGGAAATCATGTGACTGGGATTACAGTCTGTAGCCTTCGGGACTACAGTCTTTTCTATAGTGAGAGTCTTCAGGATGTGGTGTATAGTAACAGTTATTCCTTTTTATTGTCTGCTAATGTCCTAGTTGTTTTGTTTGTTTGATGTTGTCAACTTGATAACAAGCTAGAGTCAAGTGGGAAGAAGAACCTCTACTGAGAAAATGCCTCCATCAGACTGGCCTGAAAGCAAGTCTGAGCGGCATGTTCTTCCTTGCTAACTGATAGAGGCACACCCAGCCAGCTGGGAGGGAAGCACCCCTCAGCATGTGGTCCTGGGAATTATCAGAAATCGGGCTGAGCAAGCCATGGGGAACAAGCTAAGTAAGCATTGTCCCTCCATGGTCTCAGCTCCAGTTCCTGCCTCAAGGCTCCTGTCTTGGCTTCTCCTGATGACAGTCTGTAACCTGGAAGCCATACGATACAATAAACCCTTTCCTTCCCCAAGTTGCTTTTGGCCGCTGACTTTACACCAGCAATAGGAAGCAGCCTAAGACAATGAATATAGTATTATATGAATTCACACGATGGTTTATTTACAACTTGGAAGAGATTCTGATTGTCTCCAACTTGAGTGGTTATGAGTAAAGCTGCCACAGATGTTTGTGTGTAGATTTTTGTGCCTGTGTAAGTTTTAGCTTCTCTGGAGTCTACACAGCCACAGGTCACACAATAAGCGCATGTGTAACTCAGTAAGAAGCTACCATTCTTTTTGCATTCTCAGCAGCACAACATGAGATGGCAATGGTTCCCAACCTTGTCATCACTTGGTTGTCAGCATTTGAACAAGTTCATAAAGGTATCTCAGCAGCCTTAAAATAATTATTTGCACATGCTAATCATAAAACAGGTGGGTTATTGTGAGAAATTCTTCTATATCTCACAGTGATTTCACTTGAATTTCTGTCATCTATTGACACTGGTCATCTCTTGAACTTAAGTACCACCCGTACACCCTTTTGGAAGAAGTTATCTCTTCAAGAGTTTCACTTTTTTAAAAGACAGGGTCTCACTGTGTTGTAACATCATGGCCTGTGTGCTGGCCTGAAACTTGCAATCCTCCTGCCTCAGCTTCCTAAGCGCTGGATTCCTATGGAGTTTTAAAGTTCTTTATGTAGTCACGAGTCCTTATTGTTTAGAAAATTCACAGCTGGGAATGGAGCCCCGAGCCTTGAACACATCAGACCAGTGCTCTGCCGCTGAACCACACTTCCAGCCCTGAGAACATCTGAACAAAAGCTGGGGTCAGAATGTGCACACTCTTCTGTGATGTAGGTTCCCCTTTTCTGGTGTTGTCTTAAGCATGTCTCATGTTACTAGCTCTCCTCAGTGCAGCTATAATGCTTGCAGGGTGCCATTCTTTGCCAGCTGTGGTGCCATGCTTATTCAGCAAGTTCCTTTGTTGGGCATTTAAATGAATTTACGTGATGCTGACAGCTACATTTCGTTCACATTCAAAATATTTCTCAAGAATAGATCCTGAATGGGGGGAGGGCCTAGGCCCTGCCCCAAATGATGTGACAGGCTTTGATGATCCCCATGGAAGGCCTCACCCTTTCTATGAGCAGAAGAGGGATGGGATTGGGGGTCTGTGGGGGGCATGGGAGGATGGGAGGGAGAGGAAACTGGGATTGACATATAAAATTGTTTCTAATTTAAATTTGAAAAGCAAAAAATAGATCCTGAAAGCTAGAATTATTCTTTCAGATTGTACATTCATAAAGAATTAACAGAATATGGAAACACCCTCCAGAAGCTGGGGAACACTCACCAGAGTGTGAAATGAGTTGAATATTGCCATTTTTTTGTTTTTAAGTTAATGTGGGTGTGTGTGTCTTGTTAGTTTATGTCACCACACGCATATAGGTGCCTGCAAATGCCAAAGAACATCAGATTGCCTGGACTAGAGTTCCACTAACTGGGGACCAGGTGGTCAAATCTATGAGCCTATGGGGGCTGTTCTCATTCACACCAGCACAGAGTCCATTTGGGAACTGCTATGGTTTGGAGTTGAAGCATCTTCTTGAAGGCTCATGTGTTGAAGATTCAGTGGGCACAGCCATTGAGAAGTAGGCAGTTGGACAATGAGAGCCCTGCCTGATCTAGGGTGAGTGAGTGAATACTGTGATGTCATGGCTGGGAGGCAGCGGGACCCTTTGGAGGCGGAGCCTATTTGGAGGAAGTAGATCACAGTGAATTTATTTTGGGGCGTTTTCTCCTTTCCTCTTTGTCTTTCTCCTCCTCCTCTTCCACTCTCTTCTGCTCCCTACTCCTTGCTGCCATGAGGTGAACAACTGTTTCACCATGCCCTCTACCATGATGCCCTGCCATGCTAAAACCAACGGAGCCATCCGACCATGGATTTAAATTTCTGAAAGCATAAACCAAAATAAGTCTTTCCCCCATTAAGCTGTTTTCCTCAGGTATTTTGTGATATTGATGTAAAATGAGACTAACACTAGGACCATTCTTCACCTTTTTTCTTTGAGACAAGGTCTAGCTAGACATGCAGAAGGCCACCACATCTTGCCCCACTCAAGATTTCACGACTTGACACTGACCTCTCAGATTGGTGTTTATGGTTTATTTGTTCAAGGCCAGTTTTACTTCCAAGTCATACTACAGAGAATGGATTTTCCTTAACTGACAACTAGAAGTTAGCGATTTGACCGGAGACATATTTATTCGTATTTTTATGTGTGTGTGGGAGGTTTCACAGAAATGAAAACTCACAATATCCACTGTTTTAACAAGAAGCAGCACCTTGTGTAAAAGTGACTGGTTTAAAAGGGTTTTGATCCACAGGAAATGATGGAACAGCAATGAGGAAATGTAGGATAGATTTGATTGCTAAGGTTTATTGGAAGACTTTTCTTTGTATTGTTTCAGGTCTTTCTGGTCAGGAAAGTTTCAGGTTCTCTTGGGCAAATAATTCATCTCCTGCTTGCTACTGGTGTGTGTGTGTGTGTGTTAGAGGTTGAAACTAGGACCTAACACTATATCATTAATCCCTACCCCTTGCCTTTTTTTTTTTTTTAAACTTAAGACACAGTCTCATTAAGTTGCCCAGGCTGTCTTGGAACTCAAGGATCTACAGCTTGGGCAGGCCTGGAACTTGTGATCCTCATCTCAACTTCCCAAGTAGACAGGGTTGCAGGCCTAGCCCACCCAGCTCCACTCCTGTTTCTATGAAGGGAAATGTCTATACTGTGTAGACAAAAGAGGGAGCTGATCCTGTGCACACTCATTCTCTGTGGCCTCTAACCCAGAATCCTCTTGGTGCCCAAACGGCATATCTTGGGTGTGATACTCTGACCTGTCATTGCTGACATTCTCTGTCAGGAAGTGAAAGACATTCTGTTTTTGGTTTCTTTTTCCCCCTTCTAGAAAAATCTTGAAGATGCTTCACTTATAGACATATAGCTAACAACATATAATGCACACTTTTTGCAAATGTAAGGCACTTTCTTATCAATTTACACTAGACACATGAGTAGGATGATCAGATAATATACCTGTGGCCCGTTTAACTATTCATTGACCATCTAAAATTAAAATGTTTAGCATGGCTATCTTCATATTTATTTGCTAAATACGGCTGTTCTAGTCATACGATGTGAGAGACTCAGAAAAACGGACTTCTAAATTATCTCAACAGAGAAAAGTGGGGGGAAATTCTGGATTTTTATTGAACTGTGGCAAACTATACATAATAAAATTTATCATTTTAACCATTTTGAGTGTAAAGCTCAGAGACATAGTATATTGAGTTGTGCAGCCACCATTTCATCCCTCCGGGACATTTTTCATCATTCTGTACCCCTTCCCCCAGTTCCCTCAATTTCTCCGAATTGACAAATGCAGTCCGAAGCATAGGAGAAAAATCTCATTCCTCAGGTTTTGCTCCAGCCAGAATTATCGGTAGTCTGGGGGAAAAGAGCATCACCATCTGTGGGGAGAACGCAGGGCAAATTTCCCCTTTCCCTAGTTTGTCAGGGAACTCGCCACGCCTGCATTTCTGCCCTACTAGGCTCACCAACCAGGAGCTCCCCAACCGCGCCCCGCCCCGCCCCCGGTAACCTAGGGAACCGCAGGTGAAGCGTTACACAGAAGGGACCGGATCCGGAAGCCGAGGTCTGCCAACCAAAAGGCGGCCCAGTGCGGTGACGTGTCAAAATAAGCCCTGCGGACGCCCCGTCAGCGCGCTGGGCGGGCGGGCGAGCCAGCTGTCTGCAGTCCCGATCCCGTTTGTCCGGGTTCCCCGCCCCCGCACTGACTGTGCCCCGAGTCCGCCAGTGGCGGGGGCTGGAGGAAGGCCCCACAGGTGGCCCTGGGTTCTGCACTCCCCCGAGTGGCCCAGGCCACGGAGGAAGCGGTTCTCCGTCCCAGGCTGCCTCCTCCGTGAAAGGGCGGCTTAGATGCATCTGAGAACCGAAAGCTCGCCATTCTAAGTTCAGATCTAGAACCTACCTGTGTGTGGTCGGGCGAGCAGGGCCGTGCGAGCGTGCGAGCACTTCCTAGTCTGCCCCCCCCGCCCCCCGCCCCGGTTCTCCGGGGCCGGGTTATAGAGGCGGGAGATGCAGAGACCCGGGCCCTGCCCCCGTGGGGAGGGAGACGGGGGGGCAAATAAATGGGGTTCCCAAGGCGGCAGCTACCCTAGGCCACCGGAGGACCCGAGGGACACCGACA